CTGAGTAAAGGTGGAGGGACACAACAGAGGCCCAGGGTTGAAAAGAAAATTCACATTTTTAAGTTGTTTTTTCTTCAGTTCTGTGTGGGTGGAGAGATAGATGCAGGTGCCCCACACTCCAGAAGAGGGTTCCAATCTCTTGAAACTGGAGTGGCAGGTGGTTGTGGGGAACCAAATTCAGGTCCACCACAGAGCCACCTCTCCAACTCCAGAAAATTAATATTTTTAACTGTCATATCAGGGGTCACCTGAGGCCCCTCAACTGTTGTCTGCAGTGGCTAGAAGGGGAATTCACTTTGGGCATTTTCAGAAGGTCCATCCTCCCTTTGGGGAGTGGGACATCTTTCCTTACCATAGCTGCCTGCATAGCAGAGGAGACAATGCCCAGGGTTTCTTAGACCCTTGCAGTGCCCAGGCTAACAACAGCTGTGGCAACCATGGGCCCTTTAGAACCTCTTGTCCTGGTGTTTCTCTGAGAGGGTAGGTTCTTATCTGCCTGGGGAAATATATTATCCCCAGGGCTAAAGTCATCATCTGGTGTGACTGGAATTGTTTCCTTTGGGCATTTTTTTTCACTGCAAATAAAATTGTCTCTGTGGTTGAAAACTTTCAAGACAAATTTAAGAGTCGATTTGGGGTCCCATTGTCTGACTGCAGAGCAACTGACAAAATAACCTGAATGTGATCTTCCAAGATTTTTTAAAAGAGTCTTTCATTGCACTTACTTAAACTTGCTTTTGCAATGTGTTCACACTTTCTGGTTTTGTCCACACTCCTTTCTGTTCCATTTCAGAACAATCCTTTTATTTTTAGGTCAAAGTTACTACCTAAAATCCTTTTTTTATCTAAAGTATTTCTTTTTCTTTTAAGTTTCTTTACACAACCTACATTTCTAAGCCTTCCATCTCCCTCTTACATACTTAATCATTCTCTTTTTTTTTTCTTTTCACAAAATTTAGAAAATATTTCTTTCTAGATAACTATATTTGGGTGAAAACCCACAAAAATGTAACTAAACACGGGCAGAACATGTTAATAGTTTAAAGACACTACTGTTTCTTCTAACAAATGTAAGTTAATGAATTTGGTAGGGATTTCAGTGCTACTGTCACAGGCACCTAGGAGCTGCTTTTGTCAACAAGCACAGCTTTATTTGAGCCAAGAATGCAGCCCCTACCACCCCGGCAGGACAAAGTCTTCCTTTTGTGTCTCTGTTTCCTTTTCTTCCTGTTATCTGTATTTCACAGGTGAGCATATTAGCCACTCATGAAAGACTGAAAGCACAAAGAGAAGTTATTGTCCAAAGCCTTGGATTCCAGGAAGAATAAAACTTAGCAGGCCCAATTCCAGATGAGAACAATCATCTGTGTAAGTGGGGCCACACCCCAGAGCATGGGCAATTATCTCTTGAAAGCCAGCTGTCCCTCCAAGCAAATAAGGAATTATTTTAATCACACCATAGCACCAGAACAGAAGAAAATCAACAATATCACAGCTCAACTGAGACTGCCCAGTTACAGACACCTTTTTTGTCAATTGTTTTAATCCCTTCTCTACTTAAATCTAAAGTTCATGTCAGTCCCCAGATGAACCCTGGAGACACCAAACCTCTGGATTAGTTCCCAATTTCTGACCTTCATTGGAACTCATCTCTTTAATTGGTGAATGTGGAACGGTAGCCAAGCTAAACCTGAAGGGTCTGCCAAGGCCAGAACCTATGTTCTAAAATGCCTGTCACACTATGAACTGAAAAGAATTGGCCAAATTGAATATTTCCGTTTACATGAACAGTCATCTATCTTCTAAGATAACTTTGGTGCTATTTAAATAATATATAAACACAAGCACACATGATTAGCTGTACATAAAAATAGACCACAGATTTCACAGCTTTCATTTTATGTTTATGGTCTATTAGGCTATAGTTACATTACATTGGGGATCTGATTATTTCCTCCACAGCACAAAGCAAGCCTTAGTCTAAAATCTGTCCCTCCACATGTACAACCCCTAATAACAAAAGCTAGAAAAATGCATCTCAAAGGTATAGAGCTTAAGCTAATTATTGGCAGGCCTCGTGTAGATAGCCAGTGAAAGCTAACAGATGAGGCAGAACTTAATGTTTTTTTTTTCCTGTTCTAAATGCTGAACCACAGAAGGAGAGATGATGACTTTAAAGATTAAAATTTATTGAAATATTATTTTGAGTCATATTCCTCCACTTTTTAGCTTATACGAGACTAAACTATGTTCCTTTGTTTGTGTATCTAAAGGAAACCAACCTAGACTGGACATCTAATGACCAGTCTCACAGTCATTAACAGACTAAATTGCAGGGGAATAACTTCTTCCCTGGGCTTCCCTGGACACCTTCTCTGTCTGAACTGTGTCTCTGCAATAGTTTAAAGAGTGGTTACAGCCTGCAGATGGGATTTGGACCGTCTCAGGAAATGAGAATCATGGAGTCTAAATTTGCCTGTTTGGGCATTGGACAGTTCTAGAAGCCTCTCTGGTGAGACTCTGGAATTAAAATGGGATCAGGGGCTGGAGAGATGGCTCAGAGGTTAAGAGCACTGACTGCTCTTCCAGAGGTCCTGAGTTCAATTCCCAGAAATCACATGTGGCTCACAACCATCCGTTGTGAGATCTGGTGCCCTCTTCTGGTGTGCAGATATAATTGGAAGCAGAATGTTGTATACATAATAAAGAAATAAAATCTTTAAAAAATAATAACAATTTAAAAAATATGGGATCAGAATCTTCAGCAGAATGTTTTGCCTGTAAAGCACTGCCAAGGAGATTTCAGAGTTCTCCATACAGAAAGCAGACAAAACAGGAACAGCTGGGAGGACTAATAGGAAGATTTTAGGATCAAAAAGAGAGACTAGGGCATATCGAGCACAGAAACAGCCTTTCCTGAGGTGTTTCGGGTACAGCATGTGATGTTTAATGAGGTTTGAGACTCTGGGTGTCACACCATAGTCAGTTCACACCAACAGGGTCTCCAGTGGCTCTTCCAGGGGCCAAAGAGTGGTATGAGTTATTGGTGGAACAATCCTTATGGTGGTGTCCTTTTGGACCAGCATGATTGTTTCACCTAACCCAGGAGAGGGGTATGGATGGCTCCAAGGAGATTCCTCTCTTCAAGGCCAGTGTCATTCATCAGACACTATGCGAGTCTCTAGCCAGAAACAGAGAGAAAGAAATAAGAGCAACGTGTAAGCTAAAAGGGTAGAGCAGAGCAGTAAAGTAGTCATCAAGGAAATTCACCAACACTGCTTCAGAGATGGTCTGTCCCTCTCTGGTCACCAGGAATGACATCAGTAGCATTAGAGTGTGAATCAGACACACAGCTCCATGCTGCTACCTGTACCAGCCTGGGGAGTTTTTGCTTTGTTTTTGGGTTTTGTTTTGTTTTTTTTTTTTTTTTTGAGACAGGGTTTCTCTATATAACTGCCCTGGCTGTCCCGGAACTCACTCTGTAGACAGGCTAGCCTCGAACTCAGAGATCTGCCTGCCTCTGCCTCCTGAGTGCTAGAATTAAAGGTGTGTACCACCACCCGGCTGCCTGGAGAGTTCTTTTCAGAGACCTTAGCACAAGAGAAACAGGATGCTTGACTGCAGGTCATAAAAGAATTTCAGAGGCAGGCAATATGAAGCAGAGTCGGAGGGTATGCTTGACTGCAGGTCATAAAAGAATTTCAGAGGCAGGCAATATGAAGCTCACACGGAGGGGTTTTTTAAATGTTTACTTACTATTATTAACTATATATGTACATATATAGAGATATATAGTGTCTATGTGTAGGTGTGTGAATGCATGTACAAGCACCCACAGGGTCCTGAGGCATCAGTCAAATCTTTCTGGAGCTGGAGTTATAGGCAGTTGTAAGTTTCTCATTATGGGTGCTGAGAACTGAACTCTGGTCCTCTGCAACAGCAGCTGGTGCTCTAAACAATTGCACAGTCTCTTCAGACCTAGGGTTGGAGTTTATTAAGAAAAGAAATTTTAAAACATAAACTCAAATGTGAGTGAGAGCAGAGATACTTAGGAAATGGACAGTACACACTCAGGTATAGGCCTGGGATTCCTAAGAGAGTCATGGTTCAATTAGAATTAAGTTGTTACAACAGCCACACACAACTTTGGTGGCTTCTGAAGTTACTTCCCAAAGGGCTGCTAAGTGCTTTATTTTCTCGTTTTCCATAAATGGTCATCAGGGAGCGGTTCTTGAGGTGCATTGGGTAGGATTACAGCTGATACACTAATGCCCTAGGTCATGAGGAGCCAACAAGGACATTAAGATACATTTTCACTATAATCAAATTTGTAGTCTTATTTCTAAGATTCTCAGAAAAATTCTGTGTTCACCTCTGGGAAGGGAATTGGGTCATACTTAAGAATCAAATATAATGGAACATAGTTCATTGCTATTTAATAAGTACATAAGCAGCATAATCTGTTGCCATAATAACATTCTTGTTTCAAATATCTCTGTATACAAGAGACGTTGTCTCTATAGGCAACTTTTTTTGTTGTTAATTATGCTGGAACTCTTGGCTCTCAGCTTGTAACATGCTTCACATGTTCTGGGTGGAGCTTACAAAACCCAGAAAAGATCCCAAAGGACCATGATTTTCCATACTCACTTCCAGGTCAGCTCCTACGTAGCAGTGGTGGTCACAAGCAGGCCTTAATCTTCAAGACGACTCCCCAGTGAGGGGCTCCTTTCCCTCCCACATCCCCTTTATTTTCTCTGTCTTTCTCATCTTTGCACCCACTTCCTCTTGCATTCTTGGTCCTCTACTTCCTGTTGCATTTTCAGTCTTGTTCCCTTTTTTAGAACTAGCATGTTGAGTATTATATAGCCAGGAACAGCATTCTGAACTCTACCCTGGGACTTCCTGATCCTCCTAGCACATAAATACCAAGGCAAGTCAGTGCATCAGAGAACAGTGAGCAGAAATCCTCAGACCAGCTAGGCCTGCCTTTCAGGAGGATGAGGAACTTGGGGGCTGCCATTTCATTCTTTATCCTTGTGGCTGTCCTTGGATGCCAGGCTGGGATCATACAGGGTGAGTTCATTGAAGCTTCACACCTAGCGGACAAGTCTATGGGAACTGCAGAACTGGAGAGGAGACAGGGGAGGGGACCACTGTCCTCCTAGAAATACTCTTCCTCCTTGGTTATGGGATTTACTTAGAAACAGCATCAGGTTACAGACCTGCCTCTATCTGTAGCCTTTAGACCCTGGAGGAAACTAGACATAGATGCTAGGCCCCACATGGGAAAACAATTATGTTTGATACATTTCTTTAGCTGACACAGGACTGTGCTAACGCTGAAGAATGGGAGTGAAATTTAAAGCTGACTTATATAATAAAGTATCGGGCATCACCTCTAATAACTCTATCATTTTGGAGAAGTGGCATGGGCAGGTTATCAACTCTACCCAAGATCATTTAACCATGCTATTCTTTTATTTGACAACTGCATATCGAGCACTTTTTATGTGCTGGACAGCTGCAGTTCTGTTTGTCTTATGGCTGTTAGCACATTGATTCCTCCTAACAAGCCTGATGGGTAGGCATCACATTAAACGATGGAAGTTTGCCTTTTTTATAGTGGAAAACAGCAGATGGTTGGTGAATTCATGTTTTTCTCTAGTACTGTGATTGTTGTTATCTTATAAATGAGAAAACTGAATCATGCAAGTCATAGTCTTAAGATTAAGGCTAGTAAGTGGTGGAATTGGAGTAAGAGTTATCCTGACTCTTGGAGTATAGAAAGAAGTGGTCATTTAGGATCTTTCCTGGGTTTTGAAAGCTCCACTTAGAGCAGGTGAAGCATGTTATAACATACCCACATGCCTCTTTTATGTAAGCCATGCTTACTACACCATCTCTTGGTGTCCTGGGGCCATGATTCCTGAACCTCGTGTGAATGTCAAAATCCACAGATTTCCTGTCCATTAATAACCCATGCACATACTCATCTGTGCATTAAAAAAACTCTAGATATTTGTAAGACTTAAAACAATTTAAATGCCAATGAATACTCCTTATATTGTTGCTTAGGGAACAATGGCAAGAAGGGGTCTCTAGTGCTTCAATTATATTTCAAGAAATTTTCCACGGTTGACTCTGTGCCTGTGGAAGCTCCAAATAGGTTAGACCAACTCTGTAAAAGGAACAAGCTAAGAATGCTGGAAAACAATAGTTGGATGAGTTGATAGCTTAATCCTTACTGCCAAAATCATTATGTTTTGATATAGAAGAAGCAAATATTAATTTTTGGTTTGATTTGTTTTATTTTTATTTTTGTGCATGTGTGTGTCTGAGTGTGTGCACTTATGTGTGTGCAAATGCCTTTGGAGGCAGAAAAAGTTGTTGGATTCCCTGGAGCTGGAGTTACATGTAATATGAGCCACCTGACATGGGTACTGAGAACTGAACTCTGGCCCTCTGTGAAAGCAGCAAGTGCTTTAACTCCTAAGGCATCTCTCCAGCCAATAAATATCAACTCTTGTGGGGAGATGGGATTTAAGACAGGGTTTCTCTGTATAGCCTTGGGGGTCTTGGAACTCACTCTGTAGACAGGCTGGCCTCGAACTCACAGAGTTTGCCTGCTTCTGCCTCCCTAGCGCTGGTGATTAAAGGTTTGTGCCACCACACCCAGCTTCAATACCAACTTTTAAAGCTATATTTTCAGCTGTGATAACCTTACTTCAAGTTAAAAAAAAAGAAGGAAGTGAAAGGGGAGAAAGAAAAGGAGAAAGAAGGAGGAAGGGAAGGAGGAAGGGACCTAAGGACAGAAGACAGGAGTGAGAGAGGGAGGGGAAAAGAGGAAGGAAGGGCTGGTTGAGTTGCATTTGCCTAATTATCACAAGGCAGGTTTACAATTCTTTTTCCAGAGTCTTTGAAGCTACATGAATTTTGCAATGCAGAAGTCGAGTTTTGACAAGTTAATTTAACACAATGATTTCACTCCTGGGTATTGACCAAAAAAATTCAAAGTGGATACATGGAAAGATTTCGAGACACTCATGTTCATAGAGGAATTATTTGCACTACACAGGAGGAGACACTCCATACCCATCAGTGATGGATGGACAAGTAAAGTGTGATAGGCATACTTCTGCAGGGGAATATTACTTAGAAGGAAGGACGTTCCAGTGTGTGCATCAAAATGGATGAACACTCAGGAATTGCTATGGTGAGGAATTGCAGTGTCAGTAACAAAGGGCAGGTAGCCTGGTTCCATTCACATGCGTTACTTCAAGAAGTCCATTTGTAAAGACAAAAGGGGCACAAGGTGGTGCATGGTGCAAGCCTATAAGGTGGAAGGATCATGAGTTTGAGGTCAGTCTGAGCGACACAGCAACACCCTGTCTTTAAACAAGAAATCAGAGAGAGCAAAGTGATGATTGCTAAGTTGAGAGATGGAAAGATGGGAGTAAGAATTAATGGGTTCTGAATTTCAGTTTTGCGGGCTGGAGAAGTCATGAGTGGATGGGGTGGTAGTTACACACTAGTTTGAATGTCATTAAACTGTATGCTTTAAAATTATTTAAATGGCTGAGGAGGAGTGAATTGGGAGGGAGAGGGGAGGTTGGCAGGGGACTGGGAGGAGAGGACGGATGGGGAAACTTCAGTTGGGATGCAAAATCAAAAAAATAAAGAAAAATACTTTAAGATACATATATTTAAATGAGGCTGGAAAGATGGTTCAGTAGCAAAGACTCCTACCTTGCAAGCTTGGTGACCTGAGTTAGATTCCCCAGAACCTACTTAAAGGTGGAAGAAGAGAACTAACTCACAAAACTAAGTTGTCTTCTGACCTCCACACACACACCCACATCACACACACCCCCATAGACACACACAAACACACACAAACACACACACACACACACAC